TGCTACCATACCATGTCATTAAGGAATGTCTGGGGGCTGTTTTTAAGAGTGTAAGCACAGAACTATGTGTGGTGTTTTGGGGTTTTTTTTAATATATGCTTTTCTTATCTGTTTGGCCATCCATTATGCCATAAAAGGGGCTCAAATTAAAGTTATTCTGCTACCTTGTGGCTGTAGCTTGAAATATCATGTGTTCAGTGGTTTAATTTATAAAAATTTCCATGATAATGATATTCATGCCATTTATCAAACTGCATCTGGAATACTGTACTTGATTTTAGACACCTCCCCAGAAGAGGAGATAATTCTCTTCTGCTAAAGACTTAGCAGACATAGTAAATTATTCTTTTTCCTTACCTTTCTTCAGTCTCAGAGAGCATAGAAACAGAGCACAGAGGAGAAATTTGCACTGCAGCAGTTCTTTTGCCTGAATGTATTTCAAAATAGATGAGAGCAGTCCAAGGTCAAAGGAAAATGTCATACATAATCCTGAGGAACGTCAATCTTGGACAGCTGTAATATTTAAATAAGAAAGAACTCTATTATTTCAGGATCAGAACTTTATGTACCTGAGTGTTGCAGAGATTCCAACTTAGATACCTTCTTAAACTCTTCATACCTATCCTACTTCTGAATATTTTTTACTCTTCTTGAAACAAAGCAAAACAAAACAAAATGTTTATTTCAGAGGAATCATCTACTAGGCACTTGAAGTGGCTGTGTGTAATATTTTTTTATCAGTAGAAGGCAATACACAGTCTAAAGCATTTGCCCAGTCTGTGTGAATATTTGATCCATAGGCTCTTCAAGACACTTCTGGAAAGCTCTTTAAGCACTACTTTAGAGATGAGAAAAATATGATTTTTAGAAAGCTGAATTTATCCATTGGTCTCTTCTCCCTTTTCCTGTGGGTTTTTTAGTGTGATGTCCCATCTTATGCCCAGATAAACATTTTTCTGGTAGTAAATTGAGACTGTATAGCTCATTTTAACTGCAATTTTTTGCTATTCTGATTTATTTAAAATGAGCTTAAATTTCTTATCATAAGAATTTTTATGACAATATTTTGAATCTCTGGACATTTTTAATAACCTGAACCTGAACAGATGATGCAAATTTTATTTAAATTCCTAAGTGTTCAGAATGGCCTAATTGTGGTGTCTGACTATAGCTGTGTTAACATTAAAGCACTGCTGACATAATACTTAAATAATAATAATAGTAGTAGTAGTAATAATAATAATAATAATAATAATAATAATAATAATAATAATAGTAAGATAATTCCAACATCCAGGGTCCAATTCTGCTCTAGGTATTCTGAAGAACACTTTAAATAACTATGTGTTACTTCATATTCAGACGACCACGAAATATCTACTCTCATTGACACCAGGTTTAAATCTGTCCTGGTATTTGTAGGTATTCATAGCACAAACTGAGTAACTTCATTAGTTTGTAAAATAGTGTAAAGTAGTGACTGAATAACATCCTAATTTCATCATCTTTCAAGCCACATTGTTCAGCAATAATTTATTTGTGGTAATATTGGTGATGATAATAAATTACTGCAATGAATCATGGCTGCTTATGATATTCCATATGTGCAGAACAGTCCTTCCATCATAATCTTCAAATCACATTGCATTGAATCAGATTTGCTAGATGAACTATTTTTATCTTGTATTTTATGTAGAAATCCATTAACAAAACTTCTCAGCATTGTTCTTCTGCAAGAGTTTTTAATTATATTTAAAGATATCCAGTGTCCTGGTGGATAGAGTCCATTAGAGACAGAGCTGTTTAACATAAAAGAATAAAAAAGCCTCAGTTTTTTTTGGTCATTGATTCAAAAATTCCATTAGATGCCCTAAATACTAATTTTACTAACTATTAGTAAAAATACTAATTTTACTAACTATTTTTTATTTTAAACATTTTAGTAAAAAAATTTTGCTTTTGAAACTTAAGGGCAAAATCTCATCCTCTGTTGGCAAAAGAACATCTAACAGAGGTAAGTATAGATCAGTGTCATACACCGAGAAATTTAAAGAAACATTATGCATCAGAAGTTGTTTCAGAAAGAATTTTCATCTGTGGAAGCTTCTGATAGAAGAGGAAAAAAACTTCCATTCATGTTACAAATAAGACATTTAGATATGGAATGACACTACCTTGTAAAACAGAAGACCCACAATTGTAGATTTGTATGAAGAGACACTGAGCAGCATATTTGTACAAGAATATACATTTGTAAACATTCTTTTATATCATTACACATAGGAGATATTCAGCTGGCATACAAGTTATTGTTTCATCTTACTGTAGGAAACTCACAGTGAAGATTTTACCTTACTGTGGAATCTCATTCACAATATATCTCGCTGCTTACTTTTGCTGGCAAGATAATTCTGTAATGTATAAAAGAAATCTTAGAAATGAGGAATATGTACATTACTTAGTATGACTATATTCATAATGGCAGGGTAACAGAATAATCTGGAATGAAACCTAAGCAAATCCATTAATCCCAAATTGCTTTTTCCAAACCTTTAAAACAAATGTTTTTCTTAAAACATGTCTGCTGTGTGGCTTGGATTTAAAGGTGCTAAGTATTTATGTTAATCCCATTCAGAGTGATATGTTAGTACAGAAATTTATGAGTCTCACTGATTTTGATAGCATTTTAACTTTTCTTTGTCCAGTCTAGAGAAAGAGTTCCTTAGCAGGGAGACAGAATATTATTTTTGTGTGGATAGCATTGGATAAAAATATGATGAAGGTTAAGTGTGTGAATTAGATATGAAAGTTATGTATTCCAAAAGAGCTGACTAAATGGCTTTTCTTTGGATGCATACCTCAAATCACAGATCAAAATTTTGCCACCATGACAGAAAGAACTAGAGAATGCTCTTATGCAGACTTTCCCATACATCATATTTTAAGCAGATGAACAAGAATTGCATTCAGTTGTTTCTTCATACATGGAATCATCTTCACATGGCTAAGTGAAAGCTATTTTCCTTTTATGTCTTATTATTTTAATTACTCATGTAGTCTGCCATAAAAACTGTGCTTATTTATTATAACATTTTTGTGACTGTTGTGATTAAAGAATTCTCTTTGGTTTTTTTTGGGTTTTTTTTATATTCATCAGTGTAAGCTAAAGTCAATTTAGATCAGAAGTTTTTCACATGGAGGGGTTTTGATTGTAATTATAGTTTGATGCAAAGAGTGCATTAATTTCTGACTTCTTACTCTACAGGTCATACACCTTAGGTTTTAAATTACTACCCAATTTCAATCATGTTTAGAGCTGAAGGAAGCTTTAACAAGAAGAAATTTATGGATTTTACAATACAGCTTTACAATACAGCAGCTGAGTGAGGGAGTGGAACCCAAGTATTTGGTCCCCCGAAAAAGTGGAAGCAGAACTCAATTTCTACACATTTTATCTGGCAGCAGAGGGCTGCTGGCCAGTCCTGCAGATAGTCACAACACTGCTGATTCTTTTCCTGGTGAGGATAGGAAAGATGTGTGTTGAATTATACCAGTGAAAAAATAAACGCAAAATCTTCTGAAGCAAAGCTTCACTGACTCTGTTTACTACAAAACCACTTTAATTTTTAGGCTTCATTCTTAACCTATGGTCAGAGAGTAAATAATAAGCTATAGTTCATCTTTAACATCAATCACATTGGACCAATGTTATCATGTTGGATTTTGATACAGTTGATATTATTTCTGCTGATCTTATGTGTGACAAGACCAGGCTGGCAGCTTTGCAAATTACATTTGAGGATACTGTACCTGCATCGTAGCCAAATTTCCCTGATACGACAAGTTCTATTCTGTTTCCAATATTCCTTACCACACTGCTCCTCAGCTCTTAAAATATGCAGCTGAAGAATAAAGTAGGTGAAAGGGACTTCTATGGGTCTTGTATTGCAGGCTCTTAGTGGACAACTCACATCAAACCTCAGTGTACGATTCAATGTCCAAGTGAGTTTCACAATTCCTAAGAATGTAAATTCCACACTGTCTCCAACCAATCTCTTCCAGTCCTTCAGGCACCTACCACAAAGAACCATCTAAAAAATATTTGATTACAATTTCCTCTGTTGCACCTTCTGACCTTTATCTTTTCCTCTTATGCATCTCTCAGATGAGAAGGCTAGAATTCACCTTCCAGCAGGGGAATCTGCAATCAGGTCCCCTCTTCTTCAGGCATGCATGCACAGAGTCCCCCCAGATCCTCTTAACAGCAGATTCTCCAGTCCTTGATCACCTTAGTGGCTCGTCCTCTTCTAGATTCTCACAGACTTATCACTATCACTTGTTAAAAATTATAGAGTCATGGAATGGTTTGGGTTGGAAGGGGCCTTAAAGAGAATCTAGTTCCACCCTAGTGTGGGACATGGACTTGGTTGCTCAGAGCCCCATCCCACCTGACCTTAAACCCTTCCAGGGATGGGGCATGCACAGCTTCTCTGTTCCACTGCATCATCACTCTCACAGTAAAGACTTTGTTTTTTCCTAATATCTAGTAAAAAACAGCTCCCTTGCAATCTGAAACCATTAAAGGTTATCTGTTTAAAACCAAATCCAGTATTCCATATGCAGCATTACAAATTTCTAGTAATGCAGTGTCAAAATTTGCATCATTTTTTTGGTCATACTGTTGTTAATACTGCCTGAAATATGTTTCATTTTCATACTGCAAAGGTACATTCCTCACTCATTTTTTACTATGGTGAGCATCCCTCATTCACAGTTTGTTATGAGGCAAAATTTTTAATAAGCACTGAATAACTTGCTCGAAGGAAGAATCCTCTTTATTTTTCCTTCTCTAAAGCAAAAAAACCAAATTGAAGCACTAACCGAAGCTGTTAATCACCTCCAGGTGTTTTGACTTGTCTACTTACTGGGTAGTATAGGGTTGAAGATGTTATTGCTGCTGCTCTTCTTGTGTCTTGCCTCCATTTTTACAGTCTGTATACCATAATTACAGCATTTATTCACCTGAGGCTGACAGGCTCTGACTTCAGAGCCTTCTCTGACTTCTGACTTCTTTGTGCTCCCTCATAATTTAACTGTGCTTTGGGGGCCTGGTTTATGAGCCTGAGGAACAGCAATTCCCATGTTAGGAACCATAGGTAAGAATTTCTGTTGAGACATTTTACCAGCAGGCTTGTTAGTGAACAGAGATCTTCTGACAGGTTGTTTCTGTCTTTGAAATGTACTTTGTGCATCTTCTGCTTCTAAATGTTAAATCTGTTAATCAGCCAGCTTGCTCTCAAGGCCAATTTCACCTGCTGTGAAACACTGCTGACCTTGAGGAGGGTTCACTATGTATTTTCCTTTCTTCTTTGGAAAGACATAGCCCCTTGCTATGTGCATGGGTCAAGTACTTCCTAGAAATCCCATTCTTAGTTTAGTAGGCTGGGCCCTGGTCTCATTTCAGTTACATGGATCAAAAAGGTAAGAAAAACCCATAGCTTTTATGAGTTTGAGCCTTTTCATTCCTTAAATTTTCTCAGTCTATTTTTTAGTTGTTTTTTGTGAATCAGAATATTTAAAAGGTGTTCAGGCTTCTTGAGAGAGCTTTTTCTTTGAATATTTGATTCTTATTAAGGGTAATAATTCTTATTAATAATATCATTGAGGTAATAATATCTGACTCATAATCTCTGTAACTGTCATCCTTTTCTACATCTTCTAATCAGGGATCAGGATACATACTGTTTTAGAATTTGTATGGATGCAGGAAAATGATAGAGGAAACAAGTTGATTCAGCAGTGATTTGTGTAAGGAAGCAGAACACAAGAACCATATAGGACCTCTAATGAGGCAGATCAGCCACCTGCTCTTCATTTCAGCTTTATGTAGGTAACTCATAAATCAAGAGAGAAAATATTTTGGAAGGCCCAGGGGAAGTCAGACTTTCCCCTTCTTCTGAGGTTCATAGAGTTACAGAGAGGGGAGTTACTACCTATTGCATCCAGATGCTGGGAATTAAGTGCTTGTCACTCCTCCATCAGTATCTTTAAGTTCTAGCACTACCTACTGCCCACGAGCCTGTGGACTTCCATCACGTTCCTGCCTTCATTCAGGGTATTTTGAATTCAGAGTATCAAAAAAGTGGATTTAATCCTTTCAGCTTCCTGCAATTAGGATTTTCCTACAGTTATTAACGTACTGTGACTGAATGATAAAATTTCCACATCGTTCCTTCTCTGAACATAACACTGGTATTTCTAAAATATAAATTTGATTACAACATAAGAGAAAATGTCTTTTCAAGTAAATTAATATTTATAAACTCTCTACATTAAGCTATTTTTCCGTTTTTACTTAGATATATGCATTTTCTTCAGCAGCCACAAGATGGGAGTATTGACCCTTAAAGCTCTCGTTTCCGTCTTTGGTTTTTATTCTTTACTCTTGTGCTGTGCCAGGCAGAGACTTAGAGAATATGTTTTGCTCCTTCCTGAACAAGTTCTCTCATAAACTATAGAGAATTTCTGGGATGTTTAGAGAATGTTAGTCTGCCTTATTTCCTATATTAATTCAGGAGGCAAAGGTCACATGTACATTAAAAGAATTTGTTGTGACTAAGAATCACATTTCTCTGATACAAATTTCAGAGTCGTTCTTTTTCAGTTCTGCACTGATTTGCCACCTTTTCAGATAATGGGCTCCCTTTAGTATTCTCACAAGGCTGTAATGATAAATGGAGCAACAGATCAAAACACTTCTTGCTGCATTTACAGGTCACCATCTGCAAGTTGGAAAGAACAGAACTTACGTGATGAGATGACTGACTGAGCAATTTGGGGGATGAGACCTTATTATTATTATGAGGCCTTAAGAAAACATTAAGGACAAGAAAATCCCAGCTAAATGTTATTATATGGGCAACTGGACAAAGACTTGTTCTGCCTTTAGGCTTATTTCTGAAAGGTTTGAGCATGCAGAGATGTCCTCCCATGTGTCATGTGGCCCATAGTGCCTGTGGAGGCACTGTAAGAAAATGGACCAATTCAAAAATTTTTGAGCATTGAGGAATGCTGATATGAATGTTCTTGGCCTGTTCTCAAAGAATTCAGAACTTTATCTGCACATAATGTGATCCATACCCCTCTTGCATTTGAAACACAGCGTCATCCATTGTTATTTCAAATTGTTTTTTTCAAATTTTCATTGTCACACCAGTGCTCCCCTTCTCCTTTGGTTAAAGAGCTAAGTATTTTATAAAAGAGTGTGTAGGTGATACATACTTGCTACCTGTTAGAGGAGTTTTTTAGGTATTCAAAAATCTATGAACAGCCTTGAAAAAATGTTATTATGCTTGATGCATCTGGTACAAAAAAGAGAGACTATTATATAACCATTACATGATGTGTGCAGGTATTAAAACAAATCTAATCAGACAACATAATTTCTGGTTTTATTAATTAGATGTGTGCTATAAACAAGCACTATTCTACTGTATTTTCCAAAGAACTTGACTCCTATTGAAATAATTAAAAGAAAAAGTAGGTTTTTTTTCAGAAGTCACTGAAATTTTAAATCAGACTGTAGGGTTTGGTGGTTTGTTTGTTTATTTGTATGGTTTTTCGTTAAGTAACATGCTGAATTTTCTTTCTGCTTTGTTCATTTTCCATCAGAAAATCTTAGAATTTATGTTGGGCTTAAACTAGTTTATTAGTAGTAGGAAAGAAGACACTGTTTGTTTGGGTTTATTAGCCAGCTTTGGTCTGCATTTTAGCAAGATGAAAACTTCAACCTTCTTGTTCCCGTATTGTGGACACACTGATAACTTTAGTGCTAATGGTCCTTCTGTGTACACAATAATGAAAACAAAGACTGAGCTGACTTGTGGCAAGCAGTAACAAAACTGCAGCAGATATATTCATGCTCTCCCCACATGCCTGGGCCTCCAACTAAATCTGAAACCTTGTCTTCCCTCACTGTGATCCTAATAGAAACTTGATATTTTGGCCTCTACAAGGATAAAAGAAACTTGTCTTAAATATACAAGAATTGCTGAAGAAATGTACCTTAGACTTGGACCCACATTTAAGCAATTAAAAAAAGAAATCTCACTGAGAGAGGAGGAAAGGAAATACAGCATTTTCACGGCAAATAGCATGGTGCCTGCTTGGCAGAAATGACCTTGGAACAGTGTTTTTTCTGCCCTCCTTCTCTCATTGCCTGTTTTTCCTCTGGATGTGTAGTACTATGATAAATGGCTGGCAGTAGGTTTCACAAAAGACTACTTCAGTGCCTCCTGAGTCTGACACTACAGCTCTTCTGTAGAGTGCCCTTTCAGGCCTTCCCAAGGCCCTCCTCAGCCATCTGGTACATATTTATGGAGGAGAGGGATTAATTCCCAGGTGAGAAGCAGATGCAGCTCAAGGAGTACAGAAAATTTAGAACTCATTGTTAGTGTGGTTACATCTTGGGATTGCTTCCAGAAAAGCAGAGCTGGTTTTCCTCTTTTTTACCAGTACATTTTAATTGGGATTTTAAGTTCCTGGCTGTTAAACTGCCTGTAGGAAGACATATATGAATATTTTTGCTTAAATGAGAACACTTTGGATGTACATGTAGAAACAGTGAATCAGAAAATATAATATTGGAGATGTGACTTTATTTAAAAATGTTATCTGATTGAAGGAGCCACCTTATATTACCCGGCTGTGTTACCTCTCTAATGACTTCTAGTGAAATCAATGTTTTATACATACAGTAAAAATGAAGGTAATCATGAAAATCATGTTCCTGTGTATCCCCAGACCTGGAAGGCTGCATTCAAGTCCATTTCCACATTCTGTGATGAGATTGGATCCAAAGGAGAATCACAATTTGGTGAGACTGGAGATGGAAGCTGACAGGCAATGCCAGGTCTGGGGCAGCTGACAGCCATGAGAAGCTTCAATGTCCACCTCATTTCTGGGCAGATTTAATAAAGTGTTTGTAGCTGCCTCACACAGAGGACTTTCTACTGTATTTTATTATAAGCAAAACAATTCCAGGCCTGCCTCAGAGCTTATGAGACAGTTCAGTAAGGTATTAAATGACTTCTATCTTTACCTCATTAATTTTAAATGCATTGGCAATCCAAAAGAAACTAATGGTCCTTGTTAGATATAGAGCCAAAAAGGGTATTCTGTATTCCTGACATGTCACCCAAAAGTAAGATAACTTGCTATTGTAAGGACAATGTTGATGAGATATATGATTCTTTACTGTAGTTTGATTTACCTGGTTTTGTCTAGTTATCTTATCATAATGAATTTTGAGTAGTGTTTGGTCACTTTTTTCTTTTTTTTCAGTATGGAGAAGAGTATGTTAGCAAAGCAGTATCACAGAAATATGAAAGAGAGGGGAATAATAGTGTGAAGAGCTCTGGAGTATTTCAGTTTTTCATCACCAGTGGTGACTAAAAAGTGGCAAAAAAGAATTTCCTCCCCAGGTCTAAAGGCAAATGGATTAAAATGATGAAGCGTTTTTAATTCACTGAAGGCTGCAGAAAACCAAAAATATTTCCCATATCTTCTACAGCTTTAGGAAGTGTTGTGGAAGAGATCTATAATGCAAACCCTGTAGAGGTGGAGCAGCAACATAAGGCATTTCTGATCTCTCCCCAGTTATTTTTCTGTCATCAGGTTCCTATCTGCGTGCAGGTGTAGCGCTCAAGGAGCCTGTCTGATGGACCGAGATCATACAGGCCGTGTGCAACATGGCTTTTTCACAGTCCCTAGAACAGCCAAGGGAGAACAAGGAAGGGACTGTGGGGGCTCCAGTGGAACTGAAATTCAATTACATGCCTCCTGTAGACCTAACCTCACTGTAAAAATTGGCCTGACAATTTTACCTTTAATTGTGCCTATGTGAAATCTCTTTGATGTTAAAGATGGTCTGCCCTCATCCACCTTTCTTGTCATACTGTGAGCAAGCCTCACTAAATTGGGTAGCAAGATGCAGACCTTTCAGGAACCCAGACATGAACAGCTTTCTCCAGCCCTTGAAAGTACATGGGATTGATCTGTTTGCTGTACAATCCCCAAGCCCCAGGCTATGGATAAAATTTCTTAGAAGAGAGGCAAAGTAAATCAATTCTGTTCTGTTTCTGGGGTAAAGTTGGTCAATAGATGATATTTTAAAGCACCTCCATCAACAATTTATGAGATTTATTCAGTTTATGCGAAAGAGCACTCCATAATCATCACTACACAGCGATGGCCCAACAGGGTGTTGCTAACTGGATATCATTTAATAAAAGTTTTTCAAGTGCTCAGCATGCTTTCATCAGAGGGTGATTTTTGTTTTTATCCTTGTTTTGTATGAACGTTAGGAGGTAATCAAGAAGTTATAAAAGTTGATGATTTATGAAGCTTTTGAAGTGGTGGGTGAAATTGTAGGCTAGATATAATGCTTATATTGATCACACTGTTGGTAAAAGCATGATAAGACTGTTGACTAAAAGTACTATTAAAATAAATTTCATGACAGGCTGTTAAATAAAGATCTAGTATTATTTTAATAACTTGATTTTGGTTAATAGTGGTCATGGTTAATGCTGGGCAGTATTGTGCTGGTAGGCACATAAACATCACAAATATTACCATATTGACACTGAGTTTTCATAATTGGAAAATTAGTTACATAGTTACCAGTTTCTCCAACACCAGCCCTATATTTTCTTATATTTCCAGCAGTATTCTTGTCTCTTATAGTAGCAACCTTTTGAAATTTTTGTTCCATGGCCATGGCTTCATCACAATCTGCTTTTCCAGCAACTTCTCCTGCTTTTTTATAAGTTTTTGAGTTTTTTTTAAATACAATTCTACTTTTACTTCCTTTTTATTTTTTCATATTCTGAAATTATTTTGATTATGGTATTGATAGTTCCAGTCTTGAAAGCACAAGGGAGAACAAAGTAATAATTTTTTACCTTTTTTCTTTGACTGTGCTTTTATTTCCATTTCTAACTACTTGCATTCTGAAGAGTGTCAGAATTAACAACTCTCTTCAAGGAAAATCAATACCCCCTCAAACAAACAAACAAATAAACAGCCCCCTCCCCAGCAACCACCCCAAAACAAACAAAAAAAAAACCCAAAACCAAACACAGCAGAAAATTTTTACAAATATTTTTTTTCTCATTTTGATTTTGCTTTTATATCTCCTTCCTCTAATTCATTTGCACTGTGTTTCACTGCATCCACTTGAAGGGCTGGTATGTTCATACCAGTGTCTTTTCAATTTACTAGTTGTAATTTAAGTTAATATATGCAAAGAACCCCAAAGTTTGCAGAACAATCCAATTGTTATCCATCAGTGCTGCTCAGCTTCCTTCTATCTGTTAAATGCGCAGAATTTTGTTTCTTTATTTTTCTCATATGGGTGCTGGCTGACATTTTTCAGATAAAATTACTGGTTTGTATCCTTTTGGAATGAGATCTCTGTTTTTTGGCTGCTTTATTTCTCACACATGTGATGTACACGTCACAACCTTGTCATGATATGAGAAAGTCCAATCTTGTTAAGAAAAAGGTGAAAAACTTTTTTTATACCCTGGAATCATTTTTCAAAGTAAAAAAAATATGTGTCATGAAAAACACTTTTCAAGGACCTGATCTGAGAACATTGCTGCCCTAGTCTCTATTTGTGGGTGATCATCTGAGGCATGGTATAGATTTCTACAAGTTATGTTGTGCTTCTCTTGAACAGCAATTCCTCTTCAATCTAATCCGTACAAGCCATTTATGTTTTGGCCTTTTCTTTTCATATATAAGTAAACTAAGTAAAAACACTAAAATTGTAAGTCTCAGAAAACTAATCTGAAAAGGATTAATTTACTCTCTTAATGCTTGACTTGGTATTTTGCTATTCTCCTACAATCTTCTTTTGACAATTATTTTAGGTTGTTGTTTTTGTCTTTTTTTCCAGAGGCATTTCAGAAGCTCACTCACTGGTATGGATAAAGCATCATTCGCTGGTGTTATTTCTTGTATTCATTATATAACTGAACAAATGTCTTATGAGCAAAATTGATGAAAAAACACAGTGCTGCTACTGCAAGCTTTTTTCTAATTAATTTGGAAACTGTTGCTGTCAATAGAAGTTTCTTCATTACTCATATAACCACAGATATCAGGATTAATATGGCAAAATCTTAGCATGTGAAAAAATGCTGTCAAATCTGTGTGTACCTTTAAAATCTTTTGAAAATATGGTTCTTCTGAAGCTGGAAATTCTAGGTCATATTGGAAGGATTTTTCAAAACAGCAAGTGTATGTCTGTATTGAAAGGTTTGATTCCAAGAACCATAGAAATCCAGACTGCGTTAAATATACAGAAATAATATCATATATCATATATCATAAATTATATCATATTCTGTAACTGTGGCTAAAGAGTAAGAATAACTTTTATGTCTGTAGCTGATACACTTTAAATAGTCTTTCCTGAAGCACATAGAGTAGTATAGAACATAAAAAAGTAATAAATATCAATAAAGAGCAACTAGATTTCCCAGAAAATTTAGTAAGTATCACTCCAATAATAAAAAAACCCAAACAACTTAGTTGTTCAATAACTTGTGCTGTTTTAAAATTCTTATTTTGCATATGCTTGCTGAAATTTGACACAGCAATATAACCATTCCTTTTTTGATAGAAGAGAAATAATGGTGAAGGGGAATTAAACTTATAAAGACAGTAGGTAGTCTAGGGTTTATTAGGCATATATATGCAAAGTCACTTTGATAACAAGAATTGTGAATTTAACAAGGAAAAATTATGAAATCCTTGAGTTTCTGTAAGACATGCTATGAAAGATTAGCAACAGTGAGACAATTACTGTAGACATTAAACATTAGGAAAAAATTGTGAAACAGAACACAAAGGGCTGGGGAGTGGCTGGCATTAAGAATGACATTACTTCATATTCACGTATGTGAACTTGAAATGTATGTCCATTTATAGAAATTAGATCAGTATGCAATCCTGTGAAAACTCATTTAAACAGTATGGGACTTCTCCATGTTTTGATTCTTGATGACATAAATGAAAACACCTTTGATAAGCCAAAATAAAAACAAAAAAAAGAAGGGAGTGAAGATTATATTATTGTTGACTTTCTTTTCCTTGCTATAACATTTAACTGAACCATCCTGCATAAATTCACTAAGCTTCTAGATCATCTGGCTTGAACTTTACAGGTTCAAGCTAGGGAATTGCACCATTTTCTCTTCGTAAAGGTCTTTATTTTCACCTGAACAGATGTGATAATAATCTTTTTAGGTGTGTTAGAAAATTGGCAATAACATTTCTATATTTTTGCACTGGACACTGATCTTTTTTAGCATGGATTCCCACATGATATAAACCAGAACAGCTCTGTCGAATTCACTGGAGCAAATCAATCAATACTGGCTAAGAATTTTGTCCCCAGTCAGTGTTTTGATGGGAAGGCAGCAAAGAGACTCTTCACTGTCATGTATGGAGAAAAATCATGTGTCTTACTGGGTTAGGCTAAAGACTGCCCTTTGGAAAAAAAAATATGAAAAAAATCACTGCCTCTTGGCTAAGCAAAAGAATTGTACAATTTTGAGTTCAAACAATAGAGCCTTTGAACTAAGGATATGCAGGCATGAAACTGTTTATTTACAAGGAAAAATGACCCACTTCTCTAGGAACATGACCCAATTTAATCTGCTAGGAAAAAAAGAAATTGAAATGCTATTTGACCTAAATTTTCTGAAGCAAAAGTTGTGTGGAAAACAGAGAAGTGTCTATATAGTTTGTGAGGCAGCTTCATTTACAGGTCATTTGCTCCATGTGTCAGACAGGATTGTGTTTCTTATAATAGGCTGTGATTAGGATTACCTGAAAACTTCCACAGAGCTTTGATCTGTCATATCACTCTTTTGCAGCTGTCTTAGGGATTCAAGTACACTGTAAACACTGATATCACTTAAGTACACTCAGAGTCTCAGGACAGGCTAAGATAACATTTGGTGAGAATGAAGTACCTTTCTCAGACAGATGTGCAGAGGCAGGAAAACCTGATTCTTGAACTGTCAGGTCTGAGATAATTTGTTATAATTTGTTCATAAGAGATCAGCCTATAATGCCACTGCTTTTTAGAAATAGGCAAAAAAAATTATCTTTTGATTAGTTCAGATGGTCAGTATGGTGAAAATCTCATATGCCTGCTTGTTCTGAAGAAATTCATGCTCCCTTGTCCATGCAGGATTCTTTTCTGGGAACAAACCTCCTCTGACTCTGACCTATTTCTTTTTATCTGCATATCCACGAATGTACTGAATCTTCAGAGACAGTCAGAACTGGGTCACTGCAGAAGTATTTCTCACTACATTTCAATGGCAAGTTTTTCAGTGTACTCTTCTCAATGTGAATACCAATCCTGAAATTTTAGACAACAATGTAAGTGACCTGTGGTATTCAAATCAGGTTGTAGTTTTAATTGAAAGATCAGATATATCCATTACTCTTCTCATATAAATCAAAAGTTGGAATGCTTGTGAATGCTTGATGGTCACTTCTCCCCTGCCTCAACAAAACTGTAAATGCAAAATGACTAATAGCTGCTTCAAACATTTTGCTTGCAGAATTACGATGAGATCAAATAATTTGGAGCAAAGAACAGTATGAGTACTTTATCATCCAAGTTTTTGGTAAAACTGACTACATGAGATAGCAGTAGCAAAAACTGGTTTGCTACTGTGACCTTTGGCCACAACTGCAATCAGTAAAATTTGAGGTATGAGACTCCATCATGTAAATTTCAGTGTTAATCTGTAGTTGTTTCTTCCTGTATGTGTGCAGGCCATGTGCAACAAATAGGAGAATTCGTTCTTTTAATAAATACTTTTGCTCATTTGTTATTTTGTAGGTGTTTGTATTACCTCTGTTTGATACTTGTGCTGCCTCTGGATGGGCAGCAAAACATCCGATGTGAACTTGGGAAGAAACTAAAAGATGCTCGGGAGTAAAAGAAGACTGAAGAATGTCCTCAAAGTACATGGTGACCAGAGGTAGGTGGACATTAAAGAATTTCATTAGATGTCAGTAATCCTGCCTTTCTTGGTGATTTACCTTACTATGGGTAATTCTTTTGGTGTCATGAAACTTCAGCTTTAAGTCCCTAGTTCAGTGGCTAGTACAGCTGTGATTTTTACTGCTATCATGATAAACAAAATGATAACCTTTTTTGCTGAAGATGTGTAGTAAAACATAGCAGCCTGTTGGAGAGCAACAGATTTTCAATCTGCAAAAATCTTAACTTTATCTACTTCCTTTAACAGAGGAACAACAATTTTCAGTGGCTGGATGAACTGTGTGGTTCTTCCATCTGCTGTAAATGACTTTATGTAAGTG